TCCAGCTGTGCATCTCACAAAATGTGAGATTGATCATGATTTGAAATACACGTGCGGTATAATTGACAGATAGAACAAATTAGCTTAGAAGCAGTGCACTTTTTTCTCACTTGGAAGATAGTAGACACAGAAAGCAAGTTCTATCCGAGCTTAATGATATATCGTGTTTGCTCTTATCTGCCCTAAGCTGATTGGTTGATTACGTGAGTGGTTATCAGCATGGATTTGACGGAAAATGATCGTAAATAAAGCGAGAACAACAGTGGTTTGTGCAGAATAACATGGTACCATCATTTATTTCGTTGGTTTCTCATCAGCTGCTTACAGCCTAAATAAATTTTGAGGTTTAAGTACAGAAACGTTTTAACATCCTTGCAAATTTTACATGCTGTCAGTTGATAGAAATTTCCACAATTAGTAAACAGTGCTCAGAAAATTGCGCTTACATAGTTTTTACACAGGCAGTTCAAGTTAAAACAAAATAAATGTATGCATATAATGGTAAGGGAGTTGCATAATAAAGATGAGATGTGCGTTAGATTCATAGTGATTAATAAGTTAGGTAACAATGTACTGAGTTGAACTCAAATCATAGAAACAAGAGACAAGCAAGATTACAGATTATAAAGGAGGGTGAGGTTAAAGACAAAGATTACGTAATCAGATGAGAGAAAAAAGACATCCAGTTACCAAGGCAAGGAAAGACTAATAACTGCTTCTTTCTGAACACATAAATCTGGTTTCAAGCGTTTGATAGAAACTGCTTCGGCAAACTTGAGGAGAATAGAGCTCCTTTGTCTATTGATAATTTTGAAGGATTTCTCGATTTCCACCTCATAACCCGTGTCGAGGAGATGTCTGGTAATAGCGCTGCTATAGGAGTTTGTTCCCTTGAGACGTAGGCTTTTCGGCACATGTTCAGAAAATCGGAGGTGTGCCCTTCTTTCTGTTCTCCCACTGTAACTGCTCCCGCAGATACACGTAAATTTGTATGCACAGTTGGAGTTGACATGAGAAGGGTATCTATCAACTTCTCCCTACTCACTGCATTTAGTTGGGAACTTTTGAGAACTGAGGGTCAGTTGATTATTGGCTGACTCCCCAAATCATTGAGAATGCCTTCTCCTCCTCATCATTTATTATTATTATTGTTCCCTTGGGTTCCTAGTGGAACATAGGGCTTCAACTGCACGTCTCCACTTGCAACTTCTGTCTTCTGCTGTACTTTTCACCTGCATCTATGCATCTTAGTCCATACTGTTTCAACTCCTGCTCACACGACCTCCTCCATGTCACCCTTGGACTGATGACCCACTCGCCGCTTCCCTTTCAGGTTCCACTCGAGCAATGGCCTGACGCGCAATGTCACTCAGCGGCCTCCTCAGCGAGTGTCCAATCCACCTCCATTTGTTGGGCGATTGGTTCTTGTTTTGTTTGTTCCCATAGTTTCTTGTTGGTGATTCACTCCGGCCCGACCATCTTATCTTCAGTATAAAGCGAAGACAGTTGTTGATAAAGGTCTGCAATAGCCTGTTGGAAATAATTTTTGTGACCCGCCCGCCAAGTTTCTGATTCGGTATAGAAGAACTGACTTGACGCTGTTTATATTGGAAATCCGAATTTTGTTGATGCTGGCTGAGTGACGAAGATTTCCAGATTGGTTTCAGGTTGATGAATGTGTTTCTCGCCTTCCCGACTCCCAATCTGACATCTTCATCCGTTCCGACTTCCTGTAATTGAGATAATGCTCCCTAGATAAGTGAATGAAGTAAACCTCTTTCAAATCCCTCCCGTTGATGGTGATTGGCGCTGGATGTTGCTGTTGTTGTTGGTTGGTTATTTTCATGACCTCCGTCTTGTCTATGTTCACTTGGAGTCCTGTCTTTGCTGCTTCTTCGACCAGTTTGTTGGTTTTCGCTTGTAAGTCTTCGATTTTGTGTGACATCAAGCATAAATCATCCACGCGCGAAATCCAGGTCTTCTAGGTTCTTCACGTCGGTCCAGAATATCCCTGTCTTCTCGTTTTCCACTATCTCACGCATAATCCAGTCCACCACAATTAGGAATATTATTGGTAGCAGATAATAAGCACCCTTGTCTGACTCCTGTGTTTACTCCAAACGCCTCGCTGAGTTTTCCGTTGTGGATCACTTGACAAGGGCCGTTGTCGTACAGCTGTTGAATAAGGTTGATGAATATTTGGGCACCGTACGCCTTAGTACTCGAGTAGTCTCCAAATTAATTTGCGGACAACGCTGTCTGTCGAAGGCCTTCTCAAAGTCTATGAAGTTGAGGTAGAGGTTTGATTGCCATTCCATGCTTTGTTCTGTGATGATGATGCGTAGAGTTGGAATTTGGTCAGTACATGATTTGCCTTTCCTGAATCCAGCTTGTTCTGGTCGGAGTTCTGTATCCAGTGCATCCTTTATTCTCTTCAGGATGATATGACTCAGGATCTTACTTGGCGTCGACAGGAGGTGGTTCCTCACCAGTTCTTGCAGAGTGGGGCCTAAGTCGCCCTTCTGTGGTAGTTTCACGAGGTAACCTTTCCTCCAGTCAGTAGGCACCTTTCCCTCCTTCCAGATCTTTTGCAATAATCGAGTCAGCACATCTACTGTCGTCTCTGGGTCCGCTTTCAGTGCTTCAGGGGGTGTTCCATCTGGTCCAGCTGCTTTTCCAGCTTTCAGAAGCTTGATTGCATTCAAAACTTCGTTGGGGGATCGTTGTCAACTTGCAGTTGTGTATGTGCTGTTGTTGGCATTTCTGGACGGGTTGCAGGTGGTGGTCGGTTCAAGAGTCCTTCGAAGTGATCCGCCCATTGTTTAGTCTGTCTTTCTTCCTTGGTAATTGGGTTCCCTTGGCTATCTTTTATAGGTTTCACTTGTGTTGATGGAGACTCAGTTATCTGATATAATGTCATGAGGTCTCTTTGTCTGCTACCTTCCCAGCTTCAGTGGCCAGATTGTCGTAGAATTGTCTTTTGTCCTTCCTAGCACTCTTCTTCACTTCTTTGTCCTATGTTGTGTAATTTGAGCTCAGCATCTCCTTCTCTTGTCCGTCTTCACATCGAATCATTTTTTCTTTCACCACTCACCTTTCCTCTATTAGTTTCCAAGTGTCCATTGAGAGCCATTCCTTGTCTTGTCTCTTCTTTCTTTCTAAAATCGTTGAGCACGTTTCGTTAAAAATCACCTTCAGTGAGTTCTAATGATATTCCGCGCATGATTCTTTAGTGATGTCACGTAGTGTTTCCTGCTTTGCTCTGACAGTTGCAATGAAAGTGTCCTTTGTGGTTGTGTCCTTCAGTAATTGAGTGTTGAACTTGCACTGTGACCTATCCCCAGCTATCCTCGGGGCTTTTAGCTTCACCTTGAAAGTCCCTTCTACTAGATAGTGGTCTGAACCCACATCTGCTCCTCTCCTTGACCTTGTGTCCAGTAGGCTCCGTCTCCACTTTCTTCAAATTGAGATGAAGTCTATTTGGTTTTTGGTGTTTCCATCTGGTGAAATCCATGTCGTCTTGTGTATATCCTTGTGTTTGAAAACGCTGCCACCAATCACCAAATCATTGAAGGCGCAGAAGTCTGAGAAGAGTTCACCATTGTCGTTCATTTCACCGAGGGCCTCACGACCCATGGTGAGTTCTCTTCCTGTGTTGTCTCCTCCCAGCTTCACATTCATATCGCCCATCAGGATTTTGATATCGCCATTTGGGACGTTGTCCATTATTGTTTGTAGTTGTCTGTAGAAAGCCTCCTTCTTCTCTTGTTCTGAGACGTTTGTAGGCGCATAACATTGCATGAGTGTAACTTTCCTTCCTTTTGAGTTGAACCTGGCTGTCATTATCCTGGAGGAGATTGGTTCCCACTGCATGAGGGCTTTGGTTGGTGTTGGTGACATCACGATGGCCACTCCTTCGGTGTGCTCATGATTGTCCTCTGGGTGACCGGAATAGATTACTGTCTCTCAAGTTGATAGTCGGCACCTTCCACCTCCGTTCCACCCGCTCTCGCAGATTCCCAACACTTCTATTCTATATCTGCTCATTTCTGCGGCTACCTGGGCAGCCTTTCTAGCTTCGTACATTGTACGAACATTCCAGGTACCCATCCTTATTTCTGCTTTCATCGAAAGAAGACACATCGGTTGACTGGATTTCAAAAGGCTTTCCCCAGCCTGCGTCATTTCATTTCCCCGATTCCAGTGAAAAATAAGGTAATTGTTTGTATTTTTAGAATTTTTAATATATTTATGAGTTGAAGTTTCTGTAGCGATTTGGTTAAGTTTTGGGAGTGGAGTTGCTAGCACCACGCCCCAACCCTCCCTCTTTATCCAGGCTCGGGACCAGCTAGAAAACCAGCGAGCTAGTAATCTAGGCGTGGTTATGTTGCAGTAATACGTGGGGCTGATCCGCTGTTGTTCACACTCTTTTACGTCAGGTAATGAATGATTGCAGTTACATTTCATGTACACTGGGTCTGGGTCTAGGTGTGAGTTTGGGATTTTTGTTTTTGGATTAACTGAAATTAAGATTCTGAGCATTTACACCCAAACGTCTGTTTACTCTATTTTGAGTTAGTTAGAAAAAGTTTAGTATTAATTAATATGCATATTTTTGGGTTTTTTAATTTTCATGAAACATTTTACTGAAATTAAACCACAGAAACACTTTTAATATCATAATATTAATATTGGCGTAGAAAAATAGATAAAAAACTACGTCAACAATCAAGGTCGACGAGGAGGTGGAAGAAGAAGTATAAATATATCTCAACTGTTGAGATTAAAATGTGCATATGCTCAGTTCCTTTAGTGAAAGATAAAATCCGCTTATATACAAGACATAAATCATGAAATTAAGTCAGCAGAAATGTACATTCACGTTTATACCACTCATAAATCTATTCATCACATAACTAATCTAATCTAGTATACATCGACGGGGGAATTATTTGAAAGCAGTTGTTTGTTGTTAGACTGTTTGTCTATCACTGTCGAGAATGAATTATTCAGATGGACCTTGGGTAATTTTCCAGCCGTGTGATATACTCAAGCATAGTAATTGGTCGTATAGACAACATTTACAATGTTGTATTGCCCAGTTTATTGGTATATGGTCAGGTTATATATTGCCAGTTATCACTGAGTTAACTACAATATTCAATCTATTAATCTGCGTATCAATTACACTGAATGGCTGTCAAGTATCGAAACAAATGATTTACATATCCGGTGTCTGTTTATTCCGCGTTATATCGAATGGTGTGTTTGTGTGGTTGCGCCAATTTCCTTCTGTTGGTCTACCCTATGCAACAAATCAAAAGACATACTTCACATTTATATTTATTTCTCCGTTCGCCTGCCGTCTTTATCGTTTTGTCTACATATTTTCTTGTACGGCAATGTGTAATATGCGAGTGTGTGCTTCATTGTTTCGGTGTTTAGCTGTTTGCACGCCAGTAAAGTATAAAAGCTGTTCAAATTGTTATGCATGGTATATTTATGGTATGATAATTATGCTCAGTGCTTTTCTAATGCTTCCATTTGCAATATACACAGATTGGTTTGCAAACAATGGTAAAATAAGATGTTGTTATAATCCACAAGATGTCAGCTTACAGATTTATCAAGCTCTAGTACCAAATCTTAGTCCAGTGCAGAATATCCTATTGATTCCTTTGGATTTAACGTTTCTCATCAAACTTCGACAACACATGCATGGAGTTTTGATGATTAAATTAACTCAGGTAGAGCGTAAGCAACTGCGAGTTTCTATTCTACTATTAATATCATCAGTCACATTCATTTTTATCGCAGTGCCACATGGTGTATTCTACTTACTCGCTAAGGTATATACTGTGAAATCATATGAAAGGAGAGCAGATAGTTTTCGGTTTATAGCTCAAGTTTTCTAGTTTATAAATGATATCAGAGAGCTGAGTGATATAGTTATTTATTTATATTGTTTGCTTTAAAGCATCCGAACAAATCTGTGCACATTTCTCATCTATGCATCAGATAATTCTTGGTGGGTTTAAAGTCTTCTTCAATAAAATACTTGGGTGTTTTTACAGAGTATTTTAGAGAGAGGATGTCTCGAAAAATTAAGACTGAAATCAATTGAACGCTGCATAAACTCACTCACTGTGTGTGTGATGGATGGCATCAGTCATTCTCGGGACTTGTCTATCACACTGTGTGTATATTTCAACTGATCACCTGGTTGTTGTTGGTGGTGGTAGTGGTAGTGGTGGTGTCATTTTCATCAAGCTCTTGTGTTTGTCATTGTTTAAAAAACAGATTGTAATTAAATATAGTTTTCACTACGAAATTGATATTTTCTTCAATTATGTGGAGTGAATGCAACTAATGTCTGATTTGAAAGTGTGTAATACTCTTGGGGAAACAGGTTTCAGGTATTCGAAACTTGTCATTCCCTCCCTTCGAGTTCTCCTTCGTTATCACACTTTTTATTTTGCTGTGTGATTTATCATTGAATTACCGACTATACAACTAGAATGGAGTGTTTCGGTTGCTGGTGATGGAATCTAGGC